ACACATGGTGTGGGGGATCACGGGGAGAACAGTATAGCACAGAAAAGGCACATAGTGGATCTCTGGCAACTTGCTGCACTGATGGACAGTTACTGCATTGGGGTATGTGTGGGGACTTGATAATATGGGTAAATGTAGTAACCACATTGTTTTTTTCATGTGAAGCCTTCATAAGAGTGTATATCAATCATACCTTAATAAAAAATTTTTAAAAAGTAAAAAGAAAAAAAAAAAGGAGAGGAACCTCCTCAGCATTGTGATATCAGGACGTGGTGATTTGAGACTGAATTGCAGACATAATATTGACAAGAAGTGAGAAATGAATGAAGGTTTTTCATCCTCTCTTCTGAGAGGTTTGGCATTGTTGGGGAGGAAAGGCAAGTAACTATAGGTTTGTTTTTATCATGGTCAAAGGATGTGTTTTTCAGAATCAGGGAGTCCTGAGAATCATTGTAAACAGGAAGGGACTAGTGGTGGAGAAATTGAAGCTGTTAATATAGAGAGGTAAATTTGTAGCAATAAATTCCATAGAAAATTAGCATCAAGGAAGTAAAACTTCTTCTCAAAAGTGTAGGAATTAAGAAGGAAAAGTACAAAGTTTCTTTAATGTAGAGGAGAGGGAGAAAGCTAAGATTGTTCTCTCTGTCCAGCCTTAATCTCACTGAGGTAGTGACTGGTAAGAGTCATGGGACAAGGAGAATTAAAAAAGATTTGTAAAAGCTGCTTTGGGATCATGTTCTGGACCAATTAGCAATGAAAACAAAAGGTTGAAGTGCTTGATCGAGGTCCTGGCTGAGGTTGACAGCATGGATTCATGTGCTGCCTAGGTGGAGTGAGGGAGTGGCTCAGCAGGGGAACAGAGTGCCCGGGCTGGCAGCCTGTGCACCGCTGACGTAGCTGCCCTTGGCATCCAGTGGGGCAGCTGTGGTGAGTGAATCTGGGGGAAGGAAGGGTCAGGATGAAGGGCAGGTTATGGGCTAGAGCGGGAGTCGGCAGATGGAAGATGGGAGAGATGGAAGACAGCACTAGGGACAGAGAAAAGAGCATTTCAGAATTTACTATCTTGGAAGTAGGACTTTAAGACCATTAATTTCTTCTTTTTAATTAATATTTATTAGCTATTCTTTGCTCATATGGAAAATTTCTGTTTATTTGGATTAATTATGTCTTTTGAAGACCTAATGGATTATTGTAGAAAGTTTTCTGAATTAACATTCTAGAATTAACATTTCTAAAAGGACATTGATAGAAATTAAAGGAAAAGAGGAATGAGGGAAAGAATTTTTAAATGCTGATGGAAAAAATAGAAGTCTCACAGAAATTTGTTTTCTCAGGTAACTGTAGAAAATATTTTTAAAGAAGGAACAGTGAAATATGAAGAAAAGTTAAAAGAATTATCATGATTTACACTTGGAACTTCCCATTTGTATTTGAGAATTCAACCAAAAGAGAAATTTGTTTTAAAGTCTTACAGTACTAAGTGATGACTAGGCTAACCTTTTTATTTTTATGAATAAAACTGATATTGAAAATATCTGTAAAGTGCTCTTTAAAAATCAACATGAAAGGAACTTGATTTTATTTCTTCTAAAACAGAGAAGTTCTGGAATAAAAATCACATCATCTGTTTTAATACTATAAGAGGTATACTTTCTTTGAACTAGAATGAAAAAATACAAAATGCTAAGAACTTTTGGAATTTGGGTAAATAATTGGAAAAGCCTAGTCTGATGCAACTCACTGAAAGCAGCTGGTAGATGTGGTATTAAGTAGTGCAGATGTTAAGCAGTTACTCTTATTGAATGAAACAAATTTTTGCTTACATATTATGTCAACATTATGTTCTCTATACTAAAATAGTGCTATATGAAAGAATTTTAAGTCTCTCAGGAATCTTTTAATCTAGTTGATGAGGTATCTATGCATTAGCAGTTTAGACCCAACATAAGTAGTATAGAAAATATTTCCAAAATATTTTTAAAAAGCAAAAAAAAAACTACTTGGACTGGAAAAGGTTGAGAAAGTTTCAAGGAGAAAGTAGTTTTTGAGCAAGTTTTTCAAGAAGGAACATGATTTGGAATGGCAGGGCATTAATGAAAATGAGAAGGAGATGGATAATAGGTATTTGAGCAAAGGAAGAAGTGAGCCTGCTGGGGAGAGCACTTAGGGTGGAATATGGTGAGAGATAAAGCGACTGAAAACGTCACATAGGATTATGAACCTTGAGTTTACGGATCTGGATGTCGTCACCGGAACAGTCGGTTCTGTGACTGAGCGCTGGAGGAGCCCGAGGGGGCTGTTGCACAAGTGTCTGTTGGCTGTGCCTCACGTGGTTCAGAGACCCAAGGAGACAGGCTAGAACAAGAGTGGCCAGTAGGGGACTTTCTGTATTCTGAGCAGGAGCAAGAGTAATTTCTTTATCTACAAGAATATTTAAATACCAGAAAAGACAGAATATGGTAATTAACTGAATATTATGCGTAAAAACAAGTATAGTAAAATGATAGCTTCAATCTCTTGGTCTCTGACACATGGAAATTTATGCCTTTACCATAGAAAAAAATTGTTGAAGTTGAGATGCAAGAGTCTGTGCTTGGTTTTGGAAATGGTCTATGAAAATGATTGAGTTTAGATAAGAGATTTAGGTTGGAAATATAAAATGGATGATCTACAAGGAGGTGTTGGTTTAAGTCTTTAGATTTCACCATGAAGAAGTAGGGTCACCAAGAACTTTAAAAAATGAAATCTGTGCTTTGAAGCCTTATGTTAACTTACTAACTGTTGGCTTGCAATGATATGTAGCCTCTAATAACTGTTAGGTCTTCTCACTAGTCTATTATTCTGATTAAGTTTTACAAAACCTTTCTGTTATAAGACACCTTATTTTTAGTCCTGTTTTCAGTGTTTTCAAAGGTACGTACTTAAAGGTATATATAATAACCTACAGTATAATAGAAAAGAATCTATTGTAAACTTAAAGCCTACCTTAAACATCAAACTCTACCATATTATTCTCAGGCAGACCTGAGGGCAAATCTCCCCTTCCTGATTTACCAGGAGCCCAAGACTTTCCTCATCTTAAAGTTGTACATTGAGTTATCTATTAATTACATTCATCCAACAAATATTTGTTGAGCTTTTATAGGTAACTGTGGGAATATAAATGAGTTTAATTTGGATTTTTCAGTTTGAGGTACATTCAAGTAAAATTATCCAGCTGGACATAGGATATCAATGTCTAAGTTAACAGGAGTTAGACTAGAAATATACATTTGGGAGTCAGTACATATAGTTGATGATTAAAACCATAAGCATGATTGAGATTCTGTCAGGATACGCACCCCACCCCACCCCATCCCACCTCACATAGTAGGCCAAGGGCAGAGTCATGGGAAACACCGATGTTTAAGTGCTGAGAATTCCACAAGGGAGAAAGAAGAAATGATCAGAGATTTAGAAGAAGGCACAGGAAAATATGATTATCACAAAAGTCTGGCGAATAGAGGTTCAAGAAAAACAAACAGAATTAGTGGCAGTGCAGGAAATAGCTCTAATAAATTGAGTGTAGTGTTCATTGGATTTTTAGTCAGGAAATATTTTAACTTTAGAACAACAATTTTAGTAGAGTAGTAAGGACAGATGGTAAACTATAGGGAACTGAGAAATAAAGAAACTACAACCCCAATTTCCAGCTCATTAAATGGAAAGCATAGGAAAAGCATGGGGTCAAGAGAGGACTTTTTCCCTTTAATAAGAGACTCAAACTCAGTTTTCAGATAAGAGGAAGGAATTGTGCAGAAGAAGGAGCTGTAAATGCAGGAGGGGGAACTACTTGAGAAAGGGATGAGAAAGTGGGTGCCAACAGTAAGATGGCTTGACAGGAAGAGGAGCAAATGCCTTGTCCACCGATGCCTGAAGAACAGAGCTAATGACAGAGAAGTGGGGAGAGGGCCTGGGGGAGGACATTTGGGGGAGATCATGCCTTGTGCCCTTACTGTGCCAGGAAGAGAGAAATGAGGAATTGAAGATTTACAAATATTGGGGAAGGTTAGGAATAATCAGAGAGCGTACTGCAAGTGGCATCTGGCCAAGCACAAACAAAGGAATAGCAGACAGGGCGGCAATGCGGGTCTAGCTGAGTCAGATTCCATGAATGCATAGGAGTGAGGTTGTTTGTGGCTGCGGGGCCTACTCTGGGAAATCACTAATGTTAATTCCTTTTACTTTGAATGGGTAAGTGGATGGATGATCATAAGAACAGAGAGGCAAGCAAGTTAATTTCAGAAATAAAAACCCATCTTGTATACCTCAAAGCTTAAAGCCTTTCAGTGTTTGGCCATTACTGTAAAATAAAAACGAGGATCCTAGACTAGAATTCTAAGATTTCCGACAGAAAATTCCCACCTTTTCTTTCACTACACTCTAATCTGTATCACATTATACCTAAACAGGGCTTCTTGCCATTTTTTGAAGTTTTTTCCTCCCCAACTTTCATCTCAACTATTTTGCTTCTGCTATTTATTTAGCTTGTAAAAGCCTATGTCTCTACTTTTCAGTAACTGTTTATTGAGACTCAGTTTGGTTGTTACCTGGTCTGTGATCCCAGCCAGAAATGTATCTGTCTTTTCAACTTCTATAATTCTTTATCTATACCACTTTTGCATTACTTTTCATGCCCTTTTCATTTTTTTCAAAATATCTTAGTTTCTACTAAGTTTTAAGTTTCTTGATGGTAGAGACCATATTTTTGCCATCTTTGTATTATTTCACAGTGTCAGCCAACATAATGCTTTCTTTTGTAGTAAGCATGTGGTAAAAGTAAACATTTGCTGAACAGACATTGCATTACATATTTATACTAAATAAGTAGCAGGATAAGCAATGTAAAATAAGCAACATTGAAAGAAAAATGTTTTGCCTATTCTATAGGCTAATATTAAAGATTTGTTTAAAAATGTTATTTCATTAACCTCTTCAAATGTGAATGTTTTTTCTTATAGGTATGGCATGAATTGTCTTATTCAGTTTGAAGATTTTGCTAATATAAATGCATTTCGTCTCTTGAGCAAGTATCAAAACCAGTATTGCACATTCAATGATGATATTCAAGGTAATAAAGTTTTCATTGCATATAGATCAAGAACATGTCCTGAAATTAGTTCATAATTTTGTAATGAATCAAATTCAATAAATGTATAGTAGATACCTTTTAAATGCCAGGAATGTGTGTGTGTGTATATATATATATATATATATATATATACACATGAAGTGGCAGAGTTAAGTCTGGAACAGACATCATTTGGCCACAAACCCTAAAGTATTTACTTTCTGGCCATTTACAGAGTTTGCCAACATCTAAAGGATTAAATTTGAAAGAGTTGGTGAAAGTTTGAGGAGTTAGGTTGTCAAGGAAGGTTTGCATTTTGGAGCAATATACATTGTTTTCAGTGTAGAGAATATATTGAATGGGAGCAAATTTAAGGGCTATTGCTGACATCCAAATATATGATGATGGTACTTTGTTCTATGAAAATGCCAGTCAGAGAGAAATAGACAGCTGATGGTTGTTGAAGATGAGACGAGGAAAGAACCAAAGGTGGAATCTAGGTTTTTGCCTTGAAGAACTGATGGCAAGGTAGTAACAGAAAAATAAAATGAGAGACATTGTAACATGTAGACTGATTTGATTTGACCGTTGTTAGCTGTGGATTTTGATCAATTTACTTAACTTCTCCGAGTTTTAAATTTTCTCATTTATGGCAGAAAGTTTTGAAATAGCTTCTATTCTTTTCCTTTGAAACAAAAGATAGGATCAGAAGTTTGATGAGAATGAAAGAGGTCTGAAAAAGTGCTATGTAGGGAACTAGAGAGCCAATGACTATGAAACACAAAGGATTCAGTAGTGGGTGCTGAGGATTCATTTGAAGTTGAATACCACAAATAAATATATCATAGCACCAGGCTGAGCAGCTTGAATTCAAGAGTTTAGTGATAGACAAGGTCATGATGGACAGTTGCATTTATCTATGCTGGATATCTTACCGTATTTGTGTGAAGAAAAGGCAGCGGTGTAGGTGCTAAGGTTAAGTGGTGACCACAGCACTTAGCTGGGTAGGGAAGAAAATAAAGATACACACATGGACAGACAGGGCAAAAGGGCCTAGGTTGTCCCATCAGGGTAAATAATAGGTATGATGAGGATACTTAAATAATGAACTGGAAAGGTAAGAGGTTATAGACCTGTGTGCGGTGCTCTGGTGTAGTGTTTACAAGAAGGATTAGTTGTGAGTAATGGTAAGCACCAAGGTGAAACTAAAGAGGAAGGTGGCCAAAGTGGAATAAGGTAAATGCCATGGGAAATGAGGTAGTCAAAGGAAAACTGTTAATGTAAAATGGGGATGGTAATGTTTCTCTCATAGAGTTTATATTGAGGATAAAATAGTTATTCATGAAAATACCCTTTCAATTGAAATGTATTTTATAAACACAATTTTTAAAATTCACTATGTACAAGTTCTTTAGTATGACAGCTATGTAAATATAATGTGTTTAAAAATGATGACTCTGTTTATACATTTTGATGCACACTAAAATAATTGGTCGGAATTTTCTTTATTCCAAATCCTTTGTGATGTGATTACATTGTTACTTTAGTGCCATTTTCATGACAAAGATAGTTATATTATTTCAGCCTTGTTTTCTTTTTTGTACTGTTTCTTTTTGACTATTTATTCCTGAGAGTGCATATTCAAGGATTTCAGAAAGGAATTCAAGATTAATTTTAAATGTGCTATAAATCTAACTTGAAGATACAATGTACAATGATAGAGTGCCTTGATGTTGCAAGCATGGGCTTTGTATATTGGTATCTCTAAATCAATTCATTTTTCAGGGATCTCTAAAATAACCAACCACCAGTTAATTGTTGAACAAACCTATAGTGTCCTTTCTTTAATATTCTGTTGATTTTGTGGGTCCCATAGAAATGTTTATATAGAAATTAAAGACCAGTATTACATGATTTGGAGTCATTAGGCAGAATTAATAGGCATCATAGTTCAGTTTAAGAACAAGAATGCTAAATCCAAATCATCATACAAAATGAACATTTAAGAATTAGGATCAGAATTCCTATGAACTAAAGCCAAGAATTAGAGGTCAAGTCCTGGGCTGCATAAAAATTAGTCAGGAGCACAGGGACTCTGAGGCAGGAAGCCTGGGCCAAGCAAGCACATGACCACTGCATGTAGTGCTGTCCTGAGGACCCACAGAAGAATATTACCCCCAGAAGGTCACCAGCATGGAGACATTAATTTTTCTCCCCAACTGATCTGTCCTAAAATATAATTTGCACACATAGTCTACCTATTTACACATAGGAGTTTTAAAGTGTTACTGCCTTAGCCAGCAAAAAGACAGGTGTGAGAAAAAAGGTTCTAATTTCTGACCAGAGAAAACTTTTTGTTAAGTTATTTGGGTTCTGACTATAAGTGGCGAAACCATTTTGTGCACTTCTCCATTCCAAAGTAGTGTTCTTAATGACACATCTTCCCCATCTGTTTCTGTTGTACCCTTTCAACCTTATGTTTTTACCATTTTTCTGACAAATGTAATATTTTCCTCATTGTGGGAGTAGAAATTGCATTCCAGTACCAACAAAAATAATTATGTAGTTATTACAGTCTTACTATGTAAGTAAATGTTTTTACACCAGATCCTTGATAGAATATTTTTCTTTTTTAACAGATTTAATATTTAAAGACAGTATTTTATGAAAGGTATTTGATTTTAAAGATATATGTAATGATCTAAAATAATCTTAAGTCACAGATTTTGGTTCAAAATTTATTTAAACCTTAATACATTCTAATTATAAATTATTTTTAACTACAAAATATGTGTGAGTTTAATCAATTAAGAAATTGGACATTTAATTATATAATCTGGAAGCCATCAGAATTCAGCAAATTCAAGTGAAAAGAATAAGATCCTCTAGTCATTTTAAATCAGTTGCAAAAAGATTTTTCTTTTCATAAGAGTCTCTTTGGAATGGCTATTCTCTAACATGACATTGTAAGTATGACATGATGTTGTACATAAAAAACCCTAAAAAATCCACCCTGAAACTACTAGAACTAATAACTGAATTCAGCAGAGTTGCAGGATACAAAATTAATACATGGAAATCTGTGACATTCTTATATACTAATGATGAACTAGAAGAAAGAGAAATCAGGAAAACAATTCCATTCACAGTTACATCAAAAAGAATACAATACCTAGCAATAAACCTAACCAAGGAGGTTAAAGACCTATATCCTGAAAATTACAAGACATTCATGAGAGAAATTAAAGAAGACACATCCTGTGCTCATAGATAGGAAGAATTAATATTGTCAAAATGGCCATCCTGCCTAAAGCAATCTATAGATTCAATGTAATGCCTATCAAAATACCAACAGAATTCTACAATGAACTAGAACAAATAGTTCTAAAATTCATATGCAACCACAAAAGACCCCAAATAGCCAAAGCAATCCTGAGAAGGAAGAATAAAGCTGGGGGGATTAATGCTCCCCGACTTCAAGCTCTACTACAAAGCCATAGTAATCAAGACAATTTGGTACTGGCACAAGAACAGACCCATAGATCAATGGACCAGAATAGATAGCCCAGATATAAACCCAACCATATATGGTCAATTAATATATGATAAAGTAGTCATGGATATAAAATGGGAAAATGACAAGCCTCTTCAACAACTGGTATTGGCAAAACTGGACAGCTACAGGCAAGAGAATGAAACTGGATCACTGTCTAACTCCATACACAAAATAAACTCGAAGTGGATCAAAGACCTGAATGTAAGTCACAAAACCATAAACTCAAAGAAGAAAACATAGGCAAAATTTCTTGAATACACACATGAGCAATTTTTTCCTGAACACATCTCCTTGGGTAAGGGAAACAAAAGCAAAAATGAACCAATGGGGGCTACATCAATCTAAAAAGCTTCTGTACAGCAAAGGACACCATCAATAGAACAAAAAGGCATCCTACAGTATAGGAGAATATATTTGTAGACAGGTTATCCAATAAGGGGTTAACATCCAAAATTTATAAAGAACTCACATGCCTCAACACCCAGAAAGCAAGTAGCCCGATTAAAAAATGGACAGAGGATCTGAACACACACTTCTCCAAGAAGAAATTCAGATGGCCAGCAGATGAAAAGATGCTCCACATTGCTAGTTATTAGAGAAATGCAAATTAAAACCACAATGAGATATCACCTTGTACCATTTATGATGGCCAACATCCAAAAGACAAGGAGAAACAAATGCTGGTGAGGATGTGGAGAAAGGGGAACCTTCCTACACTGTTGGTGGGAATGTAAATTAGTTTAACCACTGTGGAAAGCAATATGGAGGTTCCTCAAAAAACAAAAATGGAAATAACATTTAACCCAAAATTCCACTCCTAAGAATTTACCCGAAGAAAACAAGATCCCAGATTCAGTGAGCCATATACACCCTATGTTATCACAACACTATTTATAATAGCCAAGATATGGAAGCAACCTGTGTCCATCAGTAGATGAATGGATAAAAAAGAAATGGTACATATACACAATGAAATATTATTCAGCCATAGGAAGAAAACAAATCCTACCATTTGCAACAACATGGATGGAGCTAGAGGGTGTTATGCTCAGTGAAATAAGGCAGGCAGAGAAAGACAAATACCAAATGATTTCCCTCATTTGTGGAGTGTAACAACAAAGCAAAACTGAAGAAACAAAACAATAGCAGACTCACAGACTCCAAGAAGTAGACACTTCAAGGAGGTGGGTGGTGGGTAGGGAGGGATGGAGAAGGGTATTATGGGGCATTATGATTAGCACACATAATGTAGAGGCATCACAGGGAAGGCAGTATAGCACAGAGAGTATAAGTAGTGACTCTATAGCATCTAACAATGCTCATGGACAGTGACTGCAGTGGGGTTTTAGGGTGGAACTTTATAATGTGGGTAAATGTAATATCCACAATGTTGCTCATGTGAAACCTTTATAAGATTGTTTATCAATGATCCCTTAATAATAATAAGTAAATAAATAAATAAAAACATGAAAGAGACACCCAGGTATTCAATAATTATCATTTCTTGAGTTCTTGTTTATCACTTTCAAATTCTATAAAAAGAAATAACCAAACCGAGGATTGGAAATAACAAATGATCTGATGGTGAAATGTTTAATTTCTATTTGGTACTTGGTATACATAGCCCTTCATCATTGTGTCATTTACCCAACCTACCCTAATCTAGGTTTTTTTGCCAAATAAGAGTGTTTAAAGTTTCTCTGGGCTTTACTTACCTAGCTAAGTGGTCTAGGAATCATTGTAATAGAATGTTACTGTAGAGGAGTAAAATACAGGCATAGGTGGGAAGTATTTTAAGAAGCTGAAAAGTTTTATTTCAGACATGAACCATAAAGAAATTGAGCTGTGTAACTATGTTCAAAGCTTGGTGATCTGTGAAAACTTATATGGAAAAGTAATAAAGTTAGAACTGGTGAAATCTCTAATGACCACAAAATATGATGAGGAAAATTCAGTTTTTATCCTAAATATGTTTTACATTAAGTTTGTCCTGCACTTTTGTTACCAATGATTATCATAGGTAGGAAGCCAATCAGAGAATGCAATAACAGCAGACTTTAATTTCTATTAACTGTTAATTTTTCAAGTTGACACTTAAAATGTTAAATTCCAAATGTATCAAAAACATCATTATCACCAACACCATTATCAGGAAGCATTTACTATGTGCCTACTTTGTTTAGAAGGGATTGGTAATAGATTTCAGAACCCCAAAACTAATTAGTAATTAGTATTAGAATCTAATAGCATTCAATAACTGTCTTTTACCTCACACAGTACAACTATTTTACAGTTCAGGACACTGATATAAAAAATAATTTCTGTAAATTCATTCAGCTAGTAAACAATTTAAGCTGGAATCCACATAAGAATCTAAACTCCATGCATCACCAAATTTAGCCACAGAATCTTCACTTTTGAAAGTCAGGAATAGCAGTAAGCTGATATCTTAAAATATCGGTGTTAATAGCCTGAGAATTTTACCTTATAGAAAGCATGGGATCACACAACTGTGGATTGCCTTTCTGTACCAGGTAACCTGTTGTGTAATGATTTCAGGGTATGAATAATGATTTGAGACTCAGAGTATGGCAGGATCTGTTTGAGAATTGCTCAAGGATATTCATCACTTGTTTCAGGAACAGCATCTGTTGCCGTCGCAGGCATCCTTGCAGCTCTGCGAATAACCAAAAAGAAACTGTCTGATCAAACCATACTATTCCAAGGAGCTGGAGAGGTACCTGTCTTAAGTAATACTTCTGTTCTCCTAAACTAATGCATATAGAACTCTTTTTAATTTTTCATTAATTTGAAGTTTGAGGTATTTTTTCAAATTTTTACTATATTGCAATTACAGATTTTATGAAAAGGTTCCCAAACTGAGTATTGAGGCATACTAATTTTTCTTAGGGAACTTTAATCTAGAGTTATAGAGGTATTTTCACAGTTATCCCTTTGGAAGAGTATTATATAGTGCTATTGTTTTTGCTATGCATTCTTAAGGTGTCATACAGGAACAAGAGATTTCCAATGTTTGATCATTTTCAGTTTTTAAGCTACTTTAACTGATGCTAACTTTTAGTATCCTCCAGTGTCACATACAAAAATTTTCTTAATGTGACTTACAATTCAGTATACACATATATAAATATATACAAGTTTTTAAGAAAAAAATGTTTTGAATTGGAGATTCATTGTGCATTATAACTGTTCAAATGCACAAGAACCAAAAATTTTATGTTGGAAAAAGGTGGCAGCTGGACAAAATCACACTGTTTTGTTATCTTTTCTGTATTTTTATCATTTAAAGGAATAAAACTAGACTGTAGTTACAGTTTTCACCTCAAAATAGAAATTAAAATGTCAGTTGAATTTGAGTTCCTTGTGAGAAAACTAGCAAAATCTGTTTAGAGTTATAGAATGTAATAAATGAAGAAATACTTTGTTGTATATATATTAAGAAGCTTTAAATTTTTAAATTTAATATGAATATGAATAAATGTATCACACTGGTGGAAATTCTGTATATTTTGTTGGTTTTGATTTTACTTATTCTTAAAATAAAACAAAATACATGAAACCAGAATTAACACCAAGATACAAGCATGTGAAAGTATTCAGAATGTAAATCACAAATCCATTTTCACATTGAAATAAAAATCAAGGCTAAGTCATAGCTCACTAAAATTTGACATTTTTTGTTTCTATGATTGTTACATGCTGCACTTAATTTTAATAAACTTACTTGATTTTCTAAAGTGTTTTGATGAATGGCACAGGCCCATTCTCCATACTCAGCGATTCAGAGGCATTCATGGTTGGGTGATTGAAAACCGGTACATGTTTGACCCTGAAGAGGCTTTGGAAATTTCACAAGTTATCCCCAAATTTATCAAATACCAAAGAAGTTGTTTATTCTAATCTTGCAAGAAATTTATAGTGCTTTCTTTTTCTAAATTATGATAGTAAATAAATGCTTGGGAACAGAGATTTTATGTACTTCTTTCTATTGCCTAATTGGTCAAGTTCCCATCCAAATGAGTAGGCTTCATTCTTCAAATTCAGTTAGAGGAGTTTGAGCCCAGCAATGAACAATACAGTCCAATGAGCAAGGTTGACCAATTGATTATTTTAAATTCAATGTTTTGTTGTTGGAGCGAACCTAATTGTATTAACAGAATTGAAGATACTGACAATCAAGGATATCACTGCTTTATCTGTGGCGAAATAAAAATAGCAAGCCATATAATAGTGGTTCCGTTGGAATAAGAAGAGTAATTGTCATTTAGCTTAACCCAGATGTGACAAAAATACTTGGCTTCCAGTATAAATGAATGAATATAACTCTTTAGGTCAATAGCTGGAGCAATTTTGTACTTGATTAACAAAGATAAAACGGGGTGAGATGTAACTCTTGTCGATATTATGTAGAGCAACTTTAAAAAATTCTGTTTATATAACTTCTTACTCAGGCTGCCTTAGGGATTGCACACCTGATTGTAATGGCCATGGAAAAAGAAGGCTTACCAAAAGAGAAAGCGATAAAGAAAATATGGCTGGTTGACTCAAAAGGATTAATAGTTAAGGTAAGAATTTATCGCTTTTAACCAGAATAAAAATCAGTGTGCCATTCTGGATGCCCATCTGAAAGACCAATACTATTCCTACTCACCCCACCCCAACACTGTGTTGTTCAAAGACATGTCATACAATAATACTGAGACTTTCCTGTATAAAGGAGAAAACTATATCTCAGTTATAGAACCAGCCCGTGATGCAAGTAGGCTCCATCCAACTCTATGGGTTGCAGTTCACTTGAATTAATTTCCAAGTGAGGCAATTTAATACTGATACAGATGGAGCCTAGGCATAACTCCTTTTATGAAGGGATATGTGTCAAATTGCATAGTAGCTAAATGAAAGGAGGAAAAAAATGGAATAGCTACTTTCTCTCAACCAGATTCTTGAGGATTTGAATGGGAATTCCTGAGAAGAGCTTTAATAAATGAGTTATTGCAATGTTAACTTGCTTGACTTTGTTTCTCCAGCTATGATAGAAATAATAGTACCAATTTCATGGGGTTATTGGGAGAACTAAGAACAGTAGGTTGGTGACCATATTGCTACACAGTTATAAAGTGTTATTACTTCTGCCATCTGTGCACATCTATCACTCTTTCATCAAATCCTATAAAAATATATGTAAATTCCCTTTCTATATGAAGATGAATTTTAAAAATAACTGTGAAATAAGTGGTGTCTTTAGGAACTTAATATAGAAACAAATGTGAATGTGTATAAACCTTCTGGAAACTGTTCTTTGTATATCCAGAGCCTTTATAATTTCATGCATCTGACCCAGTGTTTTCAATCCTAAGACTCTATCCTGTAGAGAGAGAGATGTGTACAGTGTTTCATGTTTGAGGATGTTATTACAGCATTATTTACGACAGTGATGTGTTTTATCATTCATTTATTATAATAGTGCTATGTCATACTTACTTGAATGAAGGATAATTGTGAAATAAATTGTGGAATAGTCACTTGAGTATAATATACAGGCTTAATGTTGTTTACAAAGAACTAAATAACATGAAGTATTAGTAATATAATATTAAGTGAAAAGAGGAAAACAATGTTATGTGTAACTTTTGTTTAAAAAATTGAGTTGCATGTAAAAGTCATAGAAGGAAATACATCAAATACATATTATTTTGAAACATTATTTTTAATGCCTTTCTGTATTTCCAAATTCTCCTTAGTATTTGTTCCTTTAAAGCTAGGAAAATATGCCTTTTAAAAAATTAATATAGATAAAGTTAGCCCTAAAAGAAAAAAAGTGCATAATTTTTATAGCAAATGAGTATCTATCAAGCAGTGCAATAAGAGAGAAAGTACTTTTATAACATCTCCTGAGAGCCAATTAATAATTTTATTAATTTCATTAACTTGCAGTGTAATCGCTTATAATATATAAAAACAAAGTTTAAAATTTCTTGGCTTAAAAATTGCTATTGCTTTGAAGAATCAGCATAACTAAAAAGTTTTACAGTGTGGCCCTGTGTGTGACACACTGTGGTCATGAAACAACATTTACTGGATGAAATTGCCTTTGGATTGAGCATTGTACTGTCTTCTGGGGACACAGTAAGGCTTGATCTCAGTAGGCTTACAACCTAGTGGAAAGAATTCAAATAGGCCAAGTATTACAATTCTGCATAAAATATTACAGAAGTATGTCCTGGTGCCAGGGGTGCACAGGCTCTCAGCTGCACTAAAGAGAGTAATGGGACTCTTTCAGCTAAGTTTGAAAGGAAGAGTTAGGAGTTTATCTGGAGTCTCCGTGGATATCTTAACTTCTTATATTCAAAACTGGAATAAGGGAAGGAGAATGGCAAGTTTACTGTGAAAATATTGATTGAAGCTAAGGGTGATGTCTTTCGTCTCTGTAATCTTCAAAGCCCTATATAGTGTCTAACACTTAACTGCAATTATTTGCTAATAAATGAATTAATTAATGAATGTCCTTGCAGGCAGAATAGCATTTGCAAAAGAAAATTTTTGTATAACAGACATTTTGGGATTAAGTTTGAAGGGAAGAAGATGACAGGTGACAAAGGTTTTTCTAAATCTTGAAAATGAACAATTGAATCTTATACGTGGGAGGGGGGTTGCCTCTTGTCATGCAGATGGCGTTGTGCAGGATGGAGTGAAATGAGGCAAAACTGAGAAAAGGAAACTAGTCACAAAGCTCATGCAATAATACAGGTGAAAATTAATTGGGGCCTGAAATAAAGCATTGACTATGTGGGTGAGTGAAAGAAGTTTGATTCAGTAGATATTTAGGGAATAGCATTGTCATGCTTAGTGAACAATTAAATACAGAGAGAGTAGTAGGGTAGAGTAGAGGAAGGAATCTAGCAAGACTTGTTGGGTGTCGTGATAAGAGATGTGGCTGTTAATGTAGAAAAGGAATAAAAGATAGCTCAGTTTAAGGGAAAAATAATGAGATCAGTTCTGGATATAGCAAGTTTAAGGTCTGGAGATCTCAGTTAGAGATGTCTCCTTGGCAGTTGTACATACAAGACTAACATCTCTCCTCAGGGTGAGGATCTGGGCTCTGGAGATAGAGATTTGGATCATTAGCATTTTAGTAAATAGAGCTAGGCAAAAAACTATGCAAATCACACTGTGCTTAGGGATGTAGTACACTCAAGAATCCCAAGAAAGTGAGTCTATGATTGTGGTTTTCTTTTGTGATTTCTCATGACACTTTTATGTGAAATCTCCATAAAATACACACACACACACACACACACACATATATATATGTATGTATGTATTTTAACATCTCAAATAATATTAACATGGACTTACTGACTTAGACTCAAAATTCCATGGATTACTGTACTTGGAATAATTGGGAAGTTGTTGCCTGGACCTAATCAGTCACTCTTACTTCATGTCTTTCACTTGCCAAAATAAAGAACTCAATATAGTCTGCTTGCCAAGATAAATAAAGTTACATTTTAAAAGACTGATATATTTGTAATAGCCTGTACATTATTTAATATTAAAGAAACATATGAAGCTTTAATTAAACAGTTTTTCTTTTGTGTTTTTAAAAGGTCAAAATTATTGTTACTTTCTGTTGTAGAATTAGTAAGTCATAGAATAACTAGGAAATTAGTATAGTCTTGCTTTCAAATTTACATGATTTTATGTGTTGTTATCCTTTATCTTATCCTTTGTACTCTTAAAATATCTCCTTTTAATTATGTTAACTTGCAGTGTAATTGTTTATAATATGTAAAAAATATACCTTATATGTAATCATAAATCTTTATTATATAAGCAATGTAATTGTTTATAATATATAAAATATATCATAAGGCTTTATGATTATGTATATGACTTTATGATATTTTTTTACATACTATAAACAGTTACATTGCAAGTTAGTGAAACTCCTTTACTCCTTAAAGCCTTAACAACAAAAACTAAAAAGCACACTGTGAGGTTAGCTCATTTATGATGTTATATTATCATCAGACTAAATAATTATTATTCTAACATGTTCTCTGTTTTCATTCTCAATATTACTATAGTATTTTCTATCACTTCCTCATATCTATATGTGCAATGAAAAGTTTGTGCTATAAATATCAATATTTTAAATCAGCAATATCATAGGTTTATTTAGACTGATTATTTGGTCACTGATAACATTAAAATAATGTAGTATTTTATAGTGAGAAACAATTGACATATCTGTTTAGGCAGCTGGTACTCAATACATTTAATATAAATGGGCTGATACTTGGAAATCTTTCCAAAATAAAAATTAAAGAGAGAATAAATGCAGTAAAGAAAGGATGAAAAAGGCACAGTGCCAGCATGACTAGTATTTGCATTTCACAATGATAATTTGGAGCATTTTCAGGGAGGACAAGAAGCCACAAAACAAACCAATCCAGACTTAATATATTCCACAAATAATGGTAATAAATGGTAAGACAGAAAACTCAAAATAAAAAGGTAGGATATTAATAGATAATATCAAGGAAAGACTTCATCTAACCCACAATAAGAATACAGAATTTTGTTTTGATTTTAGTTTTATTTTGTTCTGCCTTAAATAATTCTTTTTTCAATTATTCATTTTTATTTTTTGCTTTATAGTTAGATGTTCAGTTCCTGTAGAAAGAGATAGTGAGTAAAGAAAGCTTATATGTTGTGAGCATAGTTTTGACAACACAGTTATTTCCTTCTTGGAAACTTGGTTTTAGGTCTAGGACTTGTAACCATGCTGAATAGAAAAGTTTTCCTTTCCTCTGGGGCTTTTATTAGAATTTCAGCCAGTGATACTATCACCTCCTTGAATGATGGTTAACATACTTCACACACATTAGGTTTTTTTTTTTTTTAATTCTAATTTCTAAGAGACATTGAAGCTTGGTGAAGAGTACCTGACCTAATTTTTTTCTCCCTCTTTTCCATTTCACATAGAGTATGATCAGGGTATATGTAGGTATTAAAAAGAGCAGAGCAAAAAGATTATATACAAGAGTCTTTTGAACAATTATGAATATTGATTTTTAACAATACAAAATTAAATATTAATGGAGTTAACCATCTATTATCATAAATTATGGTCTTTCTGCACCCTTTGTTATTCTCTAACATGGAGAAACTTTTGTCACATTATCTTCTTTTAATCTTTGACAAGCATGAAGTGCTATTGACAGGGCACTAGCAAGGCCCCACCTGCAGACCCGAAGGGGCCAGGTTCAACTCTGACACACTAATGGCATAATAATAAAAATAGGCCAGTAAATTGAATCACAGTGTTGTATACTTGAAATCAGTATAATACTGTGCATCAACTATACTTAAATTTAAAAAATATTTAAAAACATTTTCACTTAATATAATTAAAATTCTGAAGGTTATATTTAACTAGTCTAAATCTAATATACTGGAAAAACACAGCTTATTATATAAGTAATCAAGGGCTTTCCAGATACATTGATTTTGAAGATTATTTTCTAGTTAGTTTAATAAAGTCCGTTGAAAAGGTGTTTTG